GGTTAGTAGAGGCGATCTTTTGATCGGGCAAGCGGGGGTGCTCACGAAGTGACCTTCCCCAATCGTACCCAAGTTCCCGAGCCGAGGCAACTTTGGTGATGACGAACACGTGGCCTTAGGCAAACGAGTTAGGGTTTCCTAAATTTTCTCAAAATAAAACATTTAGGTGGCGACTCTGTATCTGGCAAAACAGTCCATGTTTGACACTTCTTTCAAAATTTGTTTTCTCAAAACGATTTGCCAGATTTGGACTCTTTGGTTCAGATTAAGAACCATGACAATTTGAGAGTCCTGAGCTGTAGTGATCCCCAATATCGAACGGAACGGGGGACTCGTTCCTCCCGGGGCGTTCGGGGACGTCTACACTTCCAAACTTTCAAACTTCATCAAATCTTCAAAACTTCATGTCAAACCAACTCTCCTACATGCTGCCACATGTCCCTCAACACCTTAAGCACACAATCGACAGAAGAAAACTTTCATCTTCACAAATGTATTCTCATATAAATCAGTCCACTAAACCAATTAACTATTTAATAACTGTTCCATGACTGCCTTCACTTATTTACGCATGCAATTAGCCCCTCTATGCCACGTAGCCACTTGACTGCTAAAAGACTTTCCATTGACTTTATTGCCATGAGCCATCACCTGATTGACCCACCTGTCAATAGTAGGGATGGCAATTTAAACCCGGCCCGATGAGGACCCGATCCCCCGACCCCGATTAGAATGGATTTTTTTCGAAAATTATCCCCATAGGGCCGGGGATGGTATTGAAAATTAAATCCCAGACAGTTTTCGGGCCGGGGATGGGGATAGGTTTTTCGGCCCCGACCCGACCCGAATTATCCCCGAAAAATTCCCCGAGTATTCCCCGAATATTCCCCATATATATATATATATTTGAAAGGCCCACATAAAGGTCCACATATATATATTTTTGAAAGCCCACATTCTGATATGTATGTTTTTGAAAGGCCCACATAAAGGTCCCCGAATATTCTGATATGTATATTGTTTTGAAAGGCCCCATATATAGATATGTATATGTTTGACAGTGGCTCTCCCACTCATTCATATTCTCTCAGAGCCTCTCTCTCTCTCTCTCTGCCCAACTATTACTCTTCACGGCGTCGGCAAAGATCTCTCTCCTTCTTGGCCGATCTCCCTCCTCATTCGCTTTTCTTCGGCCGATCTCCCTCCTCCCATCACCATCACCGCCAATCTCCTTTCAGCACCGACGATCTCCTCTCAGCACCGCCGATCGTCAGAGTTCTGTCACTCCTCTTCTCTCCATCACCGCCGATCTCCTCAGATTTGTTGAATATATATGTAGTCAGAGTTCTGTTATTGAATTTTTCGGGGAATATTGCTCTGATTTTTTATTTTTTATGTTGTTGAATATTTATTTTTTATTTGGTGATGATATTGTTGTTAGTGTGCTCAGATCTGTTTCTTTGTTGAATATATATGTTGTTTTTTTTATTTTGGCCAGGGAATTTTTGGGATCGGGGAAATCCGATCCCCGTTAGGGGATGGGGGCGGAGGCGATGATAGGCTCCCCATCGGGGATCGGGGCTGGAGATGGGGAAATTTCTACCATCGGTGATCGGGGACGGGGAGTGCGATCCCTACCATCGGTGATCGGGGCCGGGGATGGGAAAATTTCTACCATCGGTGATCGGGGACGGGGAGTGCGATCTCCGGCCTCGCCCCGTTACCATTCCTAGTCAATAGTAATTTTACAAAAATGGGTGCAAACAGCAATACGAACCGTTCACTTTTTCGATTGGTTGAGTAAAATATTTATGTAAAAAATCAAGATGATATGATATTGGTAGCTCTATATTTGAATTATATTTGTATTAGAAAAAATGAATGTATATTCTTAAAATTATATTTTTCGTACATTTTTAAAGCAAATGTGATTCAAATATGTAGTTACCGATATCCGATCATTTAAATTTTTTGCATGAATATTCAACTCATTAGATTATAAAAAGTAAATAGTTCATAAAAAGTAAATAGTTCGAATTATCAAGTTCGACTCCAAAACAAACCTACTAAATCCAATTACTCTATCAAATTGACCCTATAGCGAATTTGAGGGAATCCAAATCATGATCAATTTAATACAACAAGTGAATTAAATGTCTGCCCACACAGTAGACAAAAGAAAAATGACATGTGAACGCATTATTGTAGTTGTTGGCAAATTAGTTTTAAATTTAATGAAGGAAAATGAATAAAAGACTTGGCAAAGACTTCCAACAAAGACTTGGAAAAAACTTCCCTCTAAACCCAAACCACACGGAAAAGAAAGAAAAACGATTGTCTAACATGAAGACACTTGGAAAAAACTTCCCTCTAAACCCAAACCACACGGCAAAGAAAGAAAAACAAATGTCTAACAGAAGACACTTGGGAAAAACTTCCCTCTAAACCCAAACCACACGGCAACGAAAAAGAAACAAATGTCTAACATGAAGATACTTGGAAAAAAACTTCCCTCTAAATCAGAGCAGCTTCATTCAACTTTCAAAATTTTGCATGTCAAATTATTTTAAAGATTTAGATGTCAAATTGACATATAAATTTGACATCTCTAAAAAATAAAAAAATAAAAAAAAAAAATATTTCACTCAATATGTTAAATTTATTATTTTATTAGTTTTATTTTAAACATTATTTAGTTTAATATTTTTTTTATTACTTTCATAGGTCATTTCCACTAAAATAATGAAAATAAAATAATTTGACATCTTTTTACGATGCCAAAAGTGACATTGTTCAAGACATGCCAAATGCTATCTCAATTTTGGAGGTCCAGGTGAGGCACAAGTGCAAGCCAAATGCACTTGTAGATAATGCCTACTCGGAGATATACGTCAATGAAATGAAAAGAAATTTGCCTACTCCGAGAGATACGTCAATTAAATGAAAAGAAATTTCCTGGAAAATATTGCAATAGAAGAAAGAAAAGTTAAGGCAACTTGTGGATATACTTGGTTGGACACTATAAATATATTGCCTCTATCAACTATATTCTCATACATATATCTCCGAGCTGTTATGGTTTGAATGACCATGAATACATCAATGCGAGCTATCGAAATTCTCTTTCTTGGCTTTCTCACCATAGCAGCCATTCATTTGAGCTTTTGCAATGGAAACAAAGATGTGGCTTGCATGAAGAGCGAGAAACAAGCTCTTTTAAGCTTCAAGCAAGATCTAAAAGATCTTTCGAATCGACTCTCTTCTTGGGACGTTGAAGCTGATTGCTGTAAGTGGGCAGGAGTTGTTTGCAACAACTTAAGCGGCCATGTCCTTGAGCTCCACCTTCAAACTCCCAGTGAATTTGATTTATATTCAAGGTTGGGCGGTGAAATAAATCCTTCTTTGGTAAATTTGACGCACCTCCGCTACCTGGATCTAAGTCAAAATTCTTTCACAGGAATACGAATCCCATCCTTCATTGGATCTCTGGTAAGTCTGCAATATATTAATTTGTCTGATGCAGGATTTGTGGGAACAATTCCTCATCATCTTGGAAACTTGTCGAGTTTACGTTCTCTAAGTCTTAGAGCTAATGACGTGGATGTTGAGAACCTTGATTGGCTTCATGCTCTTTACCATTTGGAATACCTAGACCTAAGCGATGTGAGCCTTACCAAGGCACCCAACTGGCCACAAGTAATTAATAAGCTCCCTTTCTTGCTTGAGTTACACCTGTCTCGTTGTGGTCTTGATCTCAGTCCTGCTCTACTCAGTGTTAATTTTACCTCTCTTCTTGTCCTAGAACTTTCGAGTAACTGGGTCTCTTCGATACCTAGTTGGATCTTCAGTATTACTAGTCTCATTTCTCTTGATCTAAGTTCATGTGCTTTTGAAAGTCCAATGCCTGAAGGTTTTCGGAATCTGACTTCTCTCGTGACCCTTGATGTTTCCTTAAATAATTTTCCATCTTTCCCTCCTAATTCTTTGTTTAGAATGAACAACCTCGTTTTTCTTAACCTGAGAGGTGCATTTGAAGCTCCACTTCCACTGATTCTCCCAAACATGACCAATCTTAGGTATCTTGATCTATCTTATAATGATCTGAATTCTACAGTACCCAGTTGGCTGTATAGTTTTAGTCGTCTTGAGTACCTTGACATGTCCTTCAGTAAGTTAGAAGGTGGAATATCAAATGACATAGGAAACTTGACTTCTATCATCACCCTATTATTGCCACAAAATAAACTTGAAGGAACACTGCCAAGATCGTTAGGAAGCCTTTGCAACTTGAGATTTTGTGATCTTTCATATAACAATTTTAGGGGAGAACTGTTTAGAACCTCGTCTAAATGCACAACATACGCTTTGGAGACTTTGATGTTGAACAACAATCGACTTTCTGGTACATTACCTGACCAACTTGGAAAATTTGAAATTTTGCAAGAGCTTGATCTTGGGTATAATAATCTATCTGGCCCCATTCCAATCACTCTAGGAAGATTGACGTCCTTAGAAACCATGCGTTTACCCAACAATCAATTAAATGGAACTCTTCCGGAAGGTCTTGGGCATCTTTCTAAGTTAAGACATCTTGATTTGACTGACAATTTGTTGTCAGGCATTGTGTCTCAAGTTCACTTCACCAATCTCGTAAATCTGACGTTTTTAGGTGCCTCTGGAAACCGATTAACTTTAAATGTGAGTCTTGACTGGATCCCGCCCTTTCTACTTGAAGTTCTAGAACTTGGATCATGGCATTTGGGCCCCAAGTTTCCCATATGGCTTCAATCCCAGAAGAATCTTTCATACCTTGACATTTCCAACGCTGAATTGTCTGAAGGGATTCCAAGTTGGTTATGGAACTTTTCTTCGTCAATCGTTTCTCTAAATCTCTCTCATAACCAAATCCATGGCGGGATTTCACATATCAATGTATTGTCTCATGGGTGCAAGATTTACTTAAATTCAAATCAATTAAATGGTCCGTTACCTCGTCTCTCTTCAAACTTGGTTGAGCTGTATCTTTCCAACAATTCATTTTCCGGGGCATCTCCCATCTCATATGTGATAGGATGGACGAAAAAAAATATTTGGAAATTCTTCATATAGGAGAAAACCTTCTATCTGGAGAAATTCCTGATTGTTGGATAAGTTGGAAATCATTGGTAATCATACATATGGGAAACAACAATTTTACAGGGCATATCCCAAGCTCTTTTGGGCTTTTGTATGATTTGAATTCATTACACCTGCGCAACAACCGGCTCTCTGGAGAAATTTCTTCATCTCTGCAAAACTGCACAAATCTAGAAATGCTTGACCTCAGTGAGAATGAGTTTATTGGAAGTATACCAACATGGATGGGGGAAAGGCTTAGACAATTAAAGATTCTTGCTCTTCGCTCAAATAGATTAGATGGCCTAATACCTCCAGAAATTTGTGGCCTCTACAGTCTTCAAGTCTTGGATATTGCAAACAACAATTTGTATGGTGGAATACCTCAATGTGTCAACAATTTTGCTTCCATGGCAGTGAAACTAGAATCTAACGACCTTATTTCCTATATAGGTCCAGGTCGTGATCATCTTGACAGTTTCTTAGAGAATGCAATTTTGGTGACAAAAGGAAATAATTACCAATACGACAAGATTCTTGCTCTTGTGGCTGTTGTGGACATTTCAAACAACAATATATCTGGAAAGATCCCTGTGGAACTAACAAGTCTTTTGGGATTGCTTTCATTGAATCTATCTGGAAATCGTTTGGCCGGTGTGATTCCGAAGAAGATAGGTAACATGGAGTCATTAGAATCTCTTGATTTATCTAGAAACCAACTCTGTGGTGAAATTCCTCCGACCATATCAAATTTGACTTTTTTGAGTTACTTGAATTTGTCTCATAATAACTTGTCAGGAAAAATTCCATCAAACACCCAACTTCAGTCCTTCAGTTCTTCTAGCTTTATCGGAAACAACCTTTGTGGACTTCCACTATCAAATAATTGTAGTGTTGGTGGCAAAACACCTGATGTAAGGAATGAAGGGGATAGTGAGGGTGCAACGTCTGAAGTGGATTGGTTTTATTTGTTTATGGGTTTAGGATTTGTGGTAGGTTTTTGGGCCATATGCGCTCCTATACTGTTCATCAAGTCCTGGAGATATGCTTATTTTCAATATCTAGATAATGTTTGGACCAGACTCGTATTATTATACATGGGCAAACGTGTTTAAATTGTAGAAGTGTCTTCTTAATATTGTAATAAAATGTATTTACATGAAATAATATCCTTTCATGGATAAATTTCTTGTGATATTATAATGGAATCTTTCATATCATGGTCAGAAGTTTTTGTTAATAAGCAACTTATTACTCTGTTCATTTATATGAAAATAAAAAATTATATATATATATAGAAGTCAAACATGAACTGTGTATATGTGTCATGGTTATTCAAGTGATGAAACAATTTGGGATCTCACATTATCAGTAATACTACAAACTCAGAAAGTTTACTAAGAAATTATCTAAAATTTTCATTTTCTGATTAGATTTATTCTACACATAAACATCACATTACACAAATTCAATCTCAACTACACTCTTACTAAAAACATCCATGTCCAAATATTCAGATTTTAAGTAAATGTTACTAACAATCTTATTTGGCACTCTAGTGCTAAGCGACTGGGCTACATTGTCACGACCCGAACCCGCCCCCCTGGGTTAAGGATGTAACCGGCCAGTAATCCTGAGATTACTTACGGCCTCAAATCAAAATAGACATAAGTCAACAGAGTAGAGGGGCCGAACGGAAGCAATAATCAAAAACTTTGTCCATAGAGCCGTGCTTATATGCACTTCAAAACAAACCAAACTCATATACGTTAATAACCCATGTCAAAAGTACGGTACCATAAAATTCTTTACAGACAGGATCATCTAATTAAGTCAACCCATGACAGACTATTTACAAATATACATAAAGTCTTTGCCAGCAGGACAAAATATAGTTACATAACAAAATGGCAAAGATAGGTCTCGTGCGTGAGACACAAGGCTGACTTTCTCAAAACCCATGTTGTTCTTGGCAGACTTCACTGGGGCTGGGTTTGGACTTCCCTCGGCTCACCTACGAACACATGAATGACCGTGAGCGATAGCCCAGTGAATAATATCAAATACAGAAGTCATATAAACAATATATAGAATAACATACTCTGAATGGCCTTGGGCCCAATTCATATTCCTACTTAACATATGTACATTTATACAAAGTTTAGATCAAGTGACTGTAGTTCTAAACATATTGGCCTTTGGTCCATTCTGATTTCCATTTACGTCAAAACGGCCTTCGGCCCATTCATTCTTGTCAAAACGGCCTTTGGTCCACTCATTTATATCAAAACGGCCTTCGGCCCATTCATTTGTGTCAAACGGCCTTCGGCCCACACATTCATGTCAAAATGGCCTTCGGCCCACTTATTCCTGTCAAAACGGCCTTCGGCCCATTCATTTATATCAAAACGGCCTTCATGTAGAACAACATACTCCAAACGGCCTTGGGCCCAATTCATATTCCTACTTAACATATGTACATTTATACAAAGTTTAGATCAAGTGACTGTAGTTCTAAACATATTGGCCTTTGGTCCATTCTGATTTCCATTTACGTCAAAACGGCCTTCGGCCCAGTCATTTATATCAAAACGGCCTTCGGCCCATTCATTTGTGTCAAACGGCCTTCGGCCCACTCATTCATGTCAAAACGGCCTTCGGGCCACTTATTCCTGTCAAAACGGCCTTCGGCTCATTCATTCATGTCAAAATGACCTTTGGTCCATTATTTCTATCAAAACGACCTCTGGTCCATTCATTTATTCGTATCAGACTTTTGTCCACGATCCCAATTAGCAAATTCATAAGGCTTATAAGGGAATAACAATTGGACATTCACAAGCTTTCAAATATTGATATTACTCACAGTGATCGGCTTGTGGATTTGCCCTGGAGCTTGACCCTACACATTTCATGAACACAAAAGGGTCACCAACAATTCAATCCGTTCCTTAATTCACATATTCCTCATTAGGCTTTATTCATAACTCATTAATTCATTTACAATGCTTAACATATGCCTAAGAGGGCTTACAAGTGAAAGAGAACGGAAAACAGAACTCAGAATGCAAAAACAGAATCATAGAAAACAGGGTCCCCGCTCGAGCGGACCCCTGAGGCCTGCAAAAATACTGGATATGGGAAATTTACGCTCAAGCGTTAAATCTGGCGCTCGAGCGGAAGGCCTCTTTACATGGCTTCACATATTCCTCATTAGGCTTTATTCATAACTCATTAATTCATTTACAATGCTTAACATATGCCTAAGAGGGCTTACAAGTGAAAGAGAACGGAAAACAGAACTCCGAATGCAAAAACAGAATCATAGAAAACAGGGTCCCCGCTCGAGCGAACCCCTGAGGCCTGCAAAAATACTGGATATGGGAAATTTACGCTCAAGCGTTAAATCTGGCGCTCGAGCGGAAGGCCTCTTTACATGGCTCCCCGCTCAAACGTGAACTTACCCGCTCGAGCGGAAGCCATGCCTGCAAAAAGTTCTGGATGTCTCATTTTTACGCTCGAGCGCGACCTAGGACACTCGAGTGGAAGTCCATCCTACGTAGCTCCCCGCTCGAGCGTGTATTTCCCCGCTCGAGCGAACATGAAGGGCTGCAGAAATTATACTGGGAGCACGTATTTTCCGCTCGAGCGGCCATTACCCCGCTCGAGCGGAAGGCCTCTTTACATGGCTCCCCGCTCGAACGTGAACTTACCCGCTCGAGCGGAAGCCATGCCTGCAAAAAGTTCTGGATGTCTCATTTTTATGCTCAAGCGCGACCTAGGACACTCGAGTGGAAGTCCATCCTATGTAGCTCCCTGCTCGAGCGTGTACTTCCCCACTCGAGCGAACGTGAAGGGCTGCAGAAATTATACTGGGAGCACGTATTTTCCGCTCGAGCGGCCATTACCTCGCTCGAGCGGACTTCAAAATTCTGGAAAACCCAGAATGTGTTCTTAAGCTCCAATTTGGTTTTCAAGCTACGATACTTGCATGCAATAGCTCAAATCTCAAATATAATCATACTAACATGGTACCAATGCAAGATTATAACATTATGGAGCTCAATTCCTTGATTTATCTACATGCATGTCTCACAACATATCAAACTCAACATCAACAAACTCATGCATTCAGCACGTATTTTCCGCTCGAGCGGCCATTACCCCGCTCGAGCGGACTTCAAAATTCTGGAAAACCCAGAATGTGTTCTTAAGCTCCAATTTGGTTTTCAAGCCACGATACTTGCATGCAATAGCTCAAATCTCAAATATAATCATACTAACATGGTACCAATGCAAGATTATAACATCATGGAGCTCAATTCCTTGATTTATCTACATGCATGTCTCACAACATATCAAACTCAACATCAACAAACTCATGCATTCAAGCTCATGTCTTCTCAAATTGTACATGCATGTGATGAATTAGCCACATCCTCAACTTAGATGGCACAAATGATGATTATAACATGAGCTTCAATTAAAATTGTACATGGATTATACAAAACATGCAAATTCAAGGTACTTTCTTACATGCATGCACATAATGGCCCTCAATTCAACCAAACCACTTCAATTTTCTCATAATCAAACCAAATCATGTTCTTGACCATTATTTCAACTCGAATTCACAAAATTACAACTTAATATCCATGAATTCACTTACCTAGAGGCTTGATTCTCCCAATCTATGGTCAAAACTTGAATAATCTTCAAGGCTCCCAAGCTTTGAGCTAAGTTTGCTCAATTCTCTTCTCTCCTCCTCTCTACAGCCGGCTCTCTCCTCCTCTCAATAGTCTAACTCAGATTTTGAGTTCATAAGGCCTAGAGGGGAGTGTAATGCTATCATACAACAAGGCCCACTAACATAATATTTCAATATAAAATATTTGAACACTAATTCATCAATTAAATCGACTTAATCTGGCCCGAATCAATTTTTCAATTAAATTTTACCGTAGGCTCTAAAAATTATGCCAATCACAATGGCGTAATAAATTTCGGGTTCCGTGGCTGATAAGGCCTTCAATTTAATTTCCAAAATAGATTATTCAGACAGGTATTCCTACGGTGAACAGATAAGACTTCAAAATCACAAATATTCACATAATGGCACATAAAATCATGCTATACACATAATCATACTCAAATTAAGGACCAATTAGCATATTACGGGACAGGGGTATCACAGTCTTCCCCTTTTAGGAAGTTTGGTCTTCCAAACTTAATTTACCTTCGTCGGGAAACAAATGTGGATAGCGTAGACGCATTTCTTCCTCTTTTTTCCACGTAGCATCTGTCCCATAGTGTTCCTTCCATTCGACTTTCACCATTGGAATGGATTTGTTTCTCAATTCCTTCACTTCTCGGTCAACAATTCTTTCCGGCCATTCAGCATATTCCATATTTTCATCAATAGCAACCCAGTGATAATCAATCACATGCAACGGGTCTCGGAGGTAACCCCTCAACATTGACACATGAAACACATTGTGGATTTGCTCAAATCCCGGTGGCAAAGCAACTCTATAAGCAACTGGACCAAGTTTCTCCAAAATTTGAAACGGCCCGGTGGTAAGGCCACTCTATAAGCAACTGGACCAAGCCTTTCCAAAATCTGAAACGGCCCAATGTAGCGGGGCGACAACTTGCCCTTTTTCCCAAATCTGACTTGGCCCTTCATCGGAGAAACACGGATGAACACATGGTCACCAACCTCATACTCAAGAGGTCTTCTTCGAACGTCTGCATAGTTCTTTTGTCGGTCCTGAGCTGTTTTGAGCCTTTGGTGAATAGTCTTGATTTTCTCAGAAGTGTCTTGTACAATTTCTAGCCCAAGCAAAGCTCTATCCCCGACCTCTGTCCAACAAATAGGTGATCTACACCTCCTACCATACAAAGCCTCGTATGGTGCCATATCGATGCTGGAGTGGAAGCTGTTATTATAAGCAAATTCTGCAAGTAGCAAGTAATCTTCCCAACTCTCCTGAAAATCCAAAGCACACATGCGAAGCATATCTTCCAATGTCTGTATCGTTCGTTCAGACTGCCCATCTGTCTGTGGATGGAATGCAGTACTAAACCTTAGTTCTGTTCCCATAGCTTCCTGCAA